TTCCCAGCATTGCGCAACAATTTAACAAAAAATAGTTTAAATTTCGAAAAAAAGGATCAACAAAATCATTTTTTTTTACTAAAATTGGTTATTTTTGGCAATTTTATAATTTTGTATCTAGACTATTAATTAGTCGATTATTGTGTAATTTTAAGGAAGACTACAAAGTTTTATTTAAAAAAAAGTCATCAAAATACGTGAAATAAGAAATGGGATGAAGTTTCTAAATGTAACATTGGTTTTTGAATATTTTGGTTAGTTAAAAGTAAATCATTAACAGACGAAATATTTGGTGGCAAAGACTTTTGGTGATGTGTTAATAAATATTCTGTTAGAAACTGTTATTTATTTTAATGAAATACTTAATAAATAGTACGAACAAGTAATAGATGATCTTTTTGGATATAAATTCTTACAAATTCATAACAACGGGAAATATTTCTTTCGCAAAGTTACCTACTACTGCATCTGTCACATCGTTTTGAATTGGAGAGCCGCGTATCCTGGTTTTCTTATATATTTCCTTTGCAACTTAAATTGGATCAGGGATCGCCAAAACAAGGGAGAAGACGGTTTTGACAACAACATTTATATGCACAGTTGGAATTTTCATTAATATAAATTTACCGAGTGCAATAACATTAAACAAATGTTAATATTTTAGATGATTCCTTAGCATCTACTCCGATTTTCTTTGAGCACTTGGTACGAGCATTCACTCAGTCTTTAGTAATACAACCCATTATTTTGTTTTTTTTTTATTCGATTTTCAAAATTATGACTAGATGGAGGTTCCAATTATAACTAAAAAACTTTGATTCATTAAATTTAACAAGGTAGCTTACTTCGAAATTTCCTAAAAATATTTTTTTTACTCTCTACACTCACCAGGAGGATATAACACGTATCTGTGAACAATCTGATGTTTTAAGCACACATTTTGACGTTTGTCATATCCGACGATCACACGTCACTCAAATGTACCGTAACTTCACAAAACAAAGGTTCAATTTATGGATGTTTAGATTATAATTCATAACCCGGCTAAAGATGATTTTTCTACTCCCATCGGTAAAATACCTAATTATACACCGGTCTAGCGTGAGAAAAGTGTCACGTGATTTTCTTGTCCCACGGATCCGAGTCACTTTGGACATTTTCGATATATTACCGCACGAGTTTGGGAGCAATCGGAAGTTTTCGGAGAATTTACCCCAGGGCGTGAATTTTGACATTTGTCAATTCTGACGCTCATGTGTGTGAACGTGTTGTTTTGCAAAAATGTACCCAAAAAGTAACAGTCATAGAAAAAGTATAGTATGCAACACGTTTGGTAAACTTTTTAAGTCACTCGTGAGCCAAATGCTGCACTTGTTGCATAATATACTCTTATTTATTCTAAATATTGTTTATAAATATATTTCTATTTCTATTATGGACCACAACTAAAATTTTACGTATTAATTGTTGGGCGCTGATAACACAACACTGATGTAAAGCAATGAAATATATATACATATAAATATTTGTGTATCAGATATTCCAAAACATATTTATTTCACATACTCAAAAATCAAAAATATTTGTTTAATAAATCTAATTTTTTCGCTCGGATATTAGATATTTTTGGGCAGATAACTTTAAAAATAGCTTGAACAAAAAATGTATTAACAATATTTAAGCAATTTATATCAGATTGTAAAATTAACAAACTATATATTTCGGTTAAAGTAATGCTGCAGGTTAGTAGATTTCTCTATACTTCCTCTAGTTTGCGCTGGAAACGTATAATCACCACTAGATGTGTCAAAAACATTTAAACATCGTCAAAACTCATTACTAAAGTTTTATCAAAATTGGAACTATTTGTTCGTGAGATAGTCCACTAACAATAAATAACATTTACAAATATTAGAATATCAGATATTCCAAAACATATTTACTTCTCATACTCAAAAATCAAAAATATTTGTTTATTAAGTCAGATTTTTACGCTATTATTAGATGTGGTTGGGCAGATAACTTTCAAAATACCTTGAACAAAACATCTATTAGCCATTTTTAGCAACTTACACAAGAGTGCAAAATTAATATTTTAGTTCAGGTAATGGTCCAGGTTAGTTAATATCTCAATACTTCTCTTAGCGTAAGCTTGAAACGTATATTCATCACTAGATGTCTCCCATAACAAACTCATGACTAAAATGTTGTTTACCAAAATTGGAACTATTAGATCCTGAGATAGTCCATAATAAATCACATTTACTTTTACTGGAAACTCGAAACGCGAACTTTCTTGCAAATGTTTAACATTGCAATAAGATTAACACCAATTAACACTGTATATTTTCGAAGATGATAAAAAGATAAGATAAAAACTTTATGGGAAAGATACCTCCCACAATTCACCAAAAATTGCGAAGTTTCATTTTTATTTACCATTTGTTTACTAATTCATAGATGACTAATTTATCGAAAATCGCTAATTTAGGAAATAGCGTTTTATACGTAGGATCCAGTGGCTTACTCAACCTTCTTCAGAAATTCACAAATTATATACCCTGTATGTTTTTTTATAATTTTATTTCATATACAAAATATAAATCATTAATTTTAAATTTCTTTTATGAGCAAGCCATGTAAAAATATCTGTTTTCCTCATATCCTTTAGTCGCCTCAGTGTGCCTCACATTAACACAAAATATTATATCTATGAGAAGTTGGATATACATATTATCAAAACACCTGCACACATTCAAATTTATTTTTATGCGTACCAAACTTTTTGTAATAAATTTTGTAATCTATGTAATATATGATTGCGTTTGAAATGGACCTTATGTGTAATATATAATTGAAAAGCCAATAATAAGCTTAAATTATTAACAGACAACGTGTTTCATTAAAAAAAGAAAAGTATAGTTCATATATCAAAATTTATGAGTTTCAGAAGAAAACTGACTACGCCCTTGTATCGTGTGTGGAAAAACCTATCCAGATTAGTTTCACCAGTTGACGTATAGTCGAACTAAAAAAGAATTTCCAAAATCACCATGTAAAAAATCCACTATAGCTATACCATTTCTGCTTGTGTCGCCTTTCATTTCATAAAAAACGTACCTTTGGGTCAAGAAAGCCGCAACACGTCATCTTTTTCTTTACGCATTTTTTAAAACTGCCCAAAAGACGTTCTTTAACCACTTTGAGAATTCAACACTTGATTTGAACAATGTTAAGCAATTTGAGCATTTTAAAAGTTTTTTTACTTTACAAGCCCTAACAACTCGTTATTCGGCCATTTCAGGATTTGTGTTTAGATAATTTTAACTACAGCTATAATTGTAAAATACCAAAACTTTTGATATCTTCACTTTAGATTATTGATATAGTGGCTTCATACTCCTAAAGGGTGTTGTGTCGCTTCTTGGATGCTTTATAGATTCAATTGATGAAGTCGACCAGTGTCAATTTCTTCTCTTTCTATTACCTGTGTTCTCTTACCAGTTTATGACTCCTACTCTTCTGGTTCGTTACTCAATTTCACAAAATTTCGATTACATTCAAATTGGAACTACTGGAAGGTGAATGCACAACCTGAAAAACTTGATTTTCAAACTAATCTCGACCAGTTTTAGCAGTATGCTATCTTAAATTGATTCCCAGAATTTCCTGATACTTCTCTACGTTATCTGTTCCATATATCAACTGTATATTTTCTACTTTGTTTGCGGACATACATCACCAAATCATTTCCCCAGAAGTAAACTTTATGTAATAACTGAATTCCACCGTTCCTGTTTCTTTACATAACCGCTTTTTCATCAGTCGCATTTAGGCCAATTGAATCAAATAGCTACTAAAAATATAGAAGACCTTATAGAATTCAACAACCATAATGGACGCTGAAATTATCAATAAGTTTGAAATATGCCTAGATTTCGCGCAAAATCGTTAACTTCCCTACGAAAATATTAATGACGTCTGCTGCTCATCAATTTTTACTGTAATAGGGCCACTACATTATCGAGTAGCTATATGAATTTGGTTAGGATAATTAATTGCGCAAACTTTCAAACGAATAAGAAAACAGGAAAATCTCAGCAGCAAATTCAGTTGATGAGTTGATTGAGTTATGAGGTCGAAACCAAAGCCCAGTCGTCCCACTGGAATCGCCAAAACCGAAAAAAGAACGACAAGTTCGATCAAATATCATTCGCTTACTGTTTTCTTTGATTATCATGGCGTAGTACATCAAGAGTTTTTACTACAAGGTAGTACGGTCAATAAAGATTATCACCTTGAAGTCATGCGCCGTTTGCAAGAAGCAGTACGAAGAAAACGTCCGCAATTGTGCATTTTGCATTACGATAATGCACCCACTCACTCATCGTTGCTTGAGTCTACCTTTTTGACCAAAAACAACAGCACAGTCATGCCTCAGCCACCATATTCACCGGATAGGGTCCCTTGTGACTTTTTCCTGTTCCAGAAACCCATAAAGGAAGAAGGTTTGGAACGATCGAGCAAATACAGAAAAAATCGCTGAAAGAACTCAAGGCTATACCAGAAAGTGCTTACCACAAGTGTTAGCACAAGTGTAGTATATCTGTGGAAATCTCTTTGAAGGGGACAACATTAATTTTGATAAATTAATAAATACCTTATAATAAACCTTAAAAGTAACCTTACTGTTTGAACACACCTCGTATACCTATTTTTTTGAAATTTTGTTTAAAATAACGGTAAAATTTTAAATTCACAGAAAAAGTAAATAATATTAAATACCTACTATCATAATTTAACTTATCAATACTGGCGTTTTTTACAACCTTTTTGTAAAAACGTTTTTTAACAAACCTCGTATATCCTGAAACGGCCGAATGGTTTTTAGGGCCCGTACCACTTTTTTCGTGGGCGTTAAACGTTTGGTGGCAAAAGTAGGACCTGAAGTTATGACGCGAGTTTAAAATCATATATCAATTAATTACTATTCTTCCCAGGTACCACCATTCACTTAATTATTGCTCTGGGTCAACATATATTTTACGACCTTTTGAACGAAGACGGAAAATGTTGGTGGCGGAGGATCATAACCTTCACTTCCACTAAGCTGTACATAATAGTTTTTCACTCAATCACCAACCTGTACTGGAGATGTAAGTAGGTAACCAAAGACGATGGACCGGCATATTGAAATGTGAGACTGTTTTCAGCTGCTTGGCTAATAACCGACGAGTACTTTGGGGTAACGGTATCTCCGACTGGACGAACGTCCATACAAAAAGAACGCGAAGCTTTATTGTTTTTTCCAGCATGTCTAATCGTTTTAACTTTGATGAAATGTCTGAGAAATTTAACATCCACGCCTTTCCAGATATGCTTGGACTACGACGATGGTTTTTTCTTGTTTCCCAATATGTTTAAATCCAAAGTAAGTGCATGATTTTATAAACATGATATTACCGTCTGTTTCATTTAAATAATAGTTACAAAGGTATCCTAAAAATTTTTTAATGATCTAATGAAGAAAGACCCAACAGTAACAAGGGACAATTTACTATTTACAAAACTTCTAGAATCCTCCTGCGTGGGTTGTTGATAAATCAAAATTGCTGACATTTCTTGAGAACTACTTGTATATTTTGTGAGGGGGGCGGAGCTAAAGGAGGGGCATGAGCATTGTTTCGGAGACTGATTCCCATATTGGCGAGTCGGGGTTAACATTGATTCGTTACTCATAGATTTCTACGAACGCTAGGATTTTTCTTTGGTTATTTTTGTTTACATGCAAATTTTACCAAATAGGATTTGAACTCCGGTTTCATGATTGTTTTCGGCAACTGCTGATGAGTTTTTTTGTCATAGTCTTAAGGTTCTTTCATGTTCTTTGAACCTAGTTGATGTTTTTCGTTCTATCTCTCCAATGTATTCTTTACCGCATATGCTGTAAACTGATATCACAAAGGGAATTTTGTCTGATAGAATATGTTAAGGGGCGACAAGGTTCATGCCCCTCCTTTAGCCCTGCTCCCTCAAACAATATATAAGTAGGTACAGCGTAGAATGCGAGCCAGCAGTTACGCCCTTAAGAAGTCCATAGGATGATTGGAGGAATGAACAGATTTGTAAATAGTGTTTAGAAATGTTTTAAAAAAGAGAAGGAAAAGGACAAAGAATACGACCAATGAGGAACAAGTAGCCATGAAAGACTTACTTAAGAACGTGAATATCAAAATTTTACCAACGGACAAAAGGGAAATATTGACTACTAGGAATCATCCAAACACTCTGCAAAAGAATTTGTTTTATAATGCTATCCCAAAAGAACATTCGAATGGAATATTGCCTCGGATGACGGATTCCCACATTGGTATAAGGTACCGACCTGAGTAGCGGTAAAGATTGTTTGGTTGCTTAGAGATTTCTATAGAATCTCGAATTTTTCGTTGGTAGAAGAATTGATTACATTTTAGTTTTATCGAGTAAAATTTGACGTCTGGTTTCGTGATTGTGTTCTGCAACTCCTGATGAGTTTATTTGTCGTACTCTTAATTAATTAATTATGTGTATGTATGACCAACACGTAGAAATTTTGGAGATGTTAGCAAACGATGAAGTAGGTAAATAATTTGCTACTAATGTTGAATATGTTCAAACTGTATAAAAGGTCAGAACTGTTATTGTTATAAATTGCTTTAGATGATAAGTTTTTGTTTTAATTATGCAGTTTATTATTTGTTTATTTAATGTCAAGCAAGAATGAGGAACTTTTTTTGTCAATATTTTGCTTTAATTTTCGATAGGTTTTTGTCTCACAAATAAAACACTTCAAACTGTCCAAAAAATAATGTCAAAACAGTATATATACATAATCATATTATATCATTTGCCATAAAGGTTACTAAAACAAACTACGCAAATAAGAAGAAATATATAGGTCAATATGTGCATGAGGTTTTAAAACATTTGTTTTTTCTGCATAGGCAGTTTCAACTTATAAACATTTCTCCCTTCCTTTTGTCATATTAATGATGGCCCAAAATAACCGTCTTTGCTTTATTACATCAAAATCAGAAATATATATGTAGAAATTATTTGAGAGAAAAGCAGATGTAAGGTGTTTTCTGGTTTGAGTGACTTGACTAGATATAGTTTTACGGCTCTGTGTTATATATATAATAAATGTAAAACTTGCTTTGAATTTAATTAATCCGCTTGTTTTGACTTAATCAAGAGTTTCTAGTTCTATTTGTAAAAACAAATAAAAGAGTAATTTGAAAAATCTTTACTTAAGATGTTATGTTTTTTCTTTCAGATCAACGAAAGTCCAGCTCTCTATTTGCTAGATTCTACCTTTTCCGTTTTCGTTGTGGGCACCTTGGTCCTTACGGTATGGAGAGGCGGTTGGTTGTTCCTAGACTTGTACCTTATGCCCAATGAATTTACTTTGTCCTGCTGGACGACAGCAGTACGTGTTTGCTTGAAGGTGGTGGACAATGCTTCAGTAGAAATATTAAGAAGTAGTCAAACTTTCATTGTCTTTATTCTTTATTTTGGTTAGGTGGGACGATATCCTAACACATCACAGAGACAACTTAAAGGGTTTAAAAATACATCTCAAAGCGCCTACAAAAAGACGCCCACGTCTCGTTCTAATTCATACTAAGTTTTCATGTCAAAGAAAAGTGATGCTGATTATCATGACGAAATAAACAGCGCATATATCGAGCAATGGTTTGAGAAATCACTAATTCATAATTTACAATTAAAAAAAGGTTGTTGTTATGGATAACGCTTATTCTTGTAGATATCTAGTGATGTCATGGAAAAAAGCTGAAATTCAAGATTGGTTGCTCGAAGAAAATATCTTCTTTGACAACTCCTACTTGAGACCAGAACTGCAAAAATGAATAGGACAAATATGAAATTGAGGAAATAGCTGCGCAGTGCGGGACAGGTAGCAGATGGTATGAATTCAAGGAAAGCTATACCTGACAATTAACGACTCCGATTTCAATACAGAACATGTTTGTTCCTTAATAACTGAAGGAATTCAATATGTTATTGAACAAAATTGGAGTAATTATGATGACATGTTGTCATAGAAAAAATCGCAATGGAACTGTGGTCAGCTGATAATCTCCATGACAACTTCGATAAACTTATTATTAGCGTGAATTCTGGCGACCGTTCTTAGAGCGGCATTGACATTTCTGATCTCGTTCAAGAATAAAAAATATCAAATATGCTGAGATAAAATTTGAACCCGATCGGCGAAACTTGTTTGAGACCGGACCTGATTTTTCTCAGACACCAATGATGCTGCAGCTGGCAATGGTGGGGTCCATAAAACTGCACACTGTTTTCTCAGTGTCACTTGGGCTATAGACTAAAGAGTTCACCCCCGACAGAGTGGCGTAGTCGCGTGCAGGCAAGGGTGAGGTTATTTGCCTAGGACGCCAAGGGTTGCCACGTTGAAGTTATTTTCACATTTGTATTGCAAAAGGTGTGTTCAATGCTTTTAAAATTGGGGTTTTCTAATGCCGCTCCTTGTGGCTGTTTCAAAGTGATTTTTCAAAAAAACTTTCAAAAGCTACTGTAATATTATTTATAAATCTTGGTGAGTCGCAGATAAGATTGTTTGGTTGCTTGTAGATTTCTACGAATGCTCGGATTATTTCTTTGATAAGTTTTGGTAAGTTGCATGTAAGAATTTTAGTTTTATCGAATAGGATTTGAACTCCGATTTCATGATTACGTTGGACACTTCTGATGAGTTTCTTTGTCATAGCCTTCAGACTCTTTCATGTTCTTAGAACCTAGTAAAATGATATCTCAAAGGGAATTTTGTCCGATAGAAGATGTTGAGAGATCCTTTAGCCCTGCACCCTCAAACAATGTATAAGTAGATACTGCGTAGAATGCAAGCCTACTTCAGTTAAACTCTTAAGAAGGCAACATTAAGATTGGAGAAGCGTTAGAAAGTTTGACTTATAAACAACTGAAGCAGGAGGAATGCAGAAGATTTGTAAATAGTGTTTAGAAAAGTTTTCAAAAATATAAGATAAACCACAACTAATACGACCAAAAAGGAACAAGTAGCCATGAAAGACTTAATTAAAGACGTAAACATCAAAATTCTCCCAGCGGACAAGGTCAACGCTTTGCAAAAGAGCAATCAGAATATGCAGTGACAAGTGACAATCGGTGTAAAACTAGGCAGCATTAAAAAGAATTTGTCGAATAGTCGAATTGGGACAGTTAATACAGTATTCAAGTCCGGCACGACATTAAGAAATATACCTACAACCAATAAACATGGAGAGTCATATATTAAGCACACAATGAGGTGTAAAATCCAAAGTTCTGGAATCGAGGAACATGTGGGAACATTACAACACAACATCAAATCAATTAAAAACAATGTAAATATCGTTATCAATTCAAGCGAGGAAATACTTAAGTACCTACAATTCCAAGCACCAGTGTTATCGTCCTAGAGGCACATCCTCACCTGCACCCGACTCTGTCACGGCTGGCCACTGTAGTCTACCATATAAGCCTCATTAGAACTAAAATTAGTGTGCACTTGATTACGCCAAATGATATATCTGCCCGAAACGTTTAAAAAAATAATAAAGACAATAGAAGTTGGACAATCTCTTAGTATATCTAGTAGTACGCCATGGAAATGCGAAATGGAAGCTCGACTGCTATTTTTTAGATAGCAAGTTACGTTTTGATCGCTTGGGTTTTTCTGGCGCAAAACACGGTTGAAAGAATTTGCAACGAGCTGGACGGCATATCGAAATTGGTGGTGGCCGATTTTTACATGCTGCTCGCATTCGTTGGAGTCATCTGCACATGGAGAGGCATCTGGGGACTTATAAATATATACTTCATTCCGAGTGCGAACCTGAGGACCCATCGAAAAAAGCAAAATTAATCGAAACTATATTACAGGTGATGAAGAGTTAAGTTGCTGGTTGACCAGCACCATTTCCTTAGTGTTGCTTAGTCTTATGGGGTGTTCGAACTCACTATTGGCAAGGGGGGTATATCTGGATGCCGAAGAGCAAGACGGGTCTTGCGTGGCCTTCACCTGTAGCTATTTGAGAGACGTGTTTGTCCAGGAGAAGGCGAGAAAGTTGATGTTTTGGAAGCGGGGCGATGGTGTCAGGGGCAAGTTCGCAATTATAGCAACAAAGAACTTCAAGCAGATCAAGATAATTGAATCGAACGAAAATGCAGGTCCGGACATGATTTGAGGGACGCGTAGTACTCCCCGCGTATAAAAGATACTCAAATGTGATATTAACATAAGTCCATTAAATATGTGAAAAAACCCTAATGCGGTTTTTATAAATCTTTAATTTCGCAAGACTTGCAAACCAAAGTATCGTAAGTAATCGGGTGTTGTTTAGCAGAAAATCCAGTCGCCTCCACCTCAGGTTATATGGTAAATATTAAGTAGTGTTTTTGGAGCCTACTGGAAAAGAATCCAATTTTACAAGTTCAACCACCTCTAACGTTTTCCCTTCAGATTAAAAAATATAGTAAAATAGAAAAGTTTTTCAAAGAAACTTCCACAGGCTACTGTAATACTTTTTACAAAACTTCTGGATTCCTCCTGCGTCGGTTTTTGCGGATTGGAAATTGCAGTTTCAGTCAAGCTCTGAAGAAGCCAACAGGATGATTGGCAAAACGTCAGCAATTTCGACTCAGCAAAAACCGACGCAGGAGGAATCCAGACGTTTTGTAAAAAGTAAAATAGAAAAGTTGTTGGGTATGACTGAAGGTCTGGACAATTTCATTGCCTTTCTGTTAGGTCAAAACAAAAAAATGTGCAGGGCAGCTCAATGGTACGGTTGAAAACCTGGTAAGCAAGTATTTATTTCCAGAGAAAGTGGGCGCCACAAGGTTTAGCCTAACGTTACAAACCAGGCTGCAACCTTGAAATGACCTTGGTTTATAAAAAATAGGAAATTCAATAGAGAGGTTATTAAAACGTATTGACTTATTTCCAATTATCGTTACTTTGTGAGTGATAAGGTGACTATTTTATTGATTTTATTCCATTTGCCTGAGAAAACGCAACAAATTTTGGGAACTAAACGTTGAAGAACAACGGAAAAGATTATTTTAAGATGTTGGCCAAGACAATAAAGTATTACTATTTAACAAATTCTGAGTGGTTTGACAAACGTCTCATAAACTTATAAATTTTTCAATAGCATTATTAACATTTGGCCAACAGCGCCAAGTGCGAAGTAACATTTTCGTACGAACTATACTTAAGTGTCACTCATGGAAAACTTTCAAGGATTCAGGTATAATAACTCAACCGATAATTTATTTCTTCTATAGAAAAATTGTTTTAATTTTTCGTCCTCAACTTTAGAAGGCCATCCAGATTTTGTAAGGGTTTTTCTTTCGATGTATAGACCTTTAAGTTGCAATAAAACAACGATAGATTATTCGATTGAAATGAATTTTATTTATCCGAAAGATAATCTTGTGGGATTACATTTTAAATATGATTTCTGGCATATGACCGGCACGGCTGGCGCGGATGTAGTCCAACCTGGATGTCCAATTTTCGATGACTTTTTCCAACATTTGTGGCCGTATATCGGCAATAACACGGCGAATGTTGTCTTCCAAATAGTCAAGCGTTTGTGGCTTATCCGCATAGACCAATGACTTTACATAGCTCCACAGAAAGTAGTCTAGCGGTGTTAAATCACAAGATCTTGGAGGCCAATTCACAGGTCCAAAACGTGAAATTAGGCGGTCTTTTAATAAATCGATTGTGGCCCGAGCTGTGTGACATGTTGCGCCGTCTTATTGAAACTACATCTCCTGGACATCATGGTTATTCAATTCAGGAATGAAAGAGTTAGTAATCATAGCTCTGTACCGATCACCATTGACTGTAAAGTTCTGGCTATCATCGTTTTTGAAGAAGTACGGACCAACGATTCCACCAGCATACAAAGCGCACCAAACAGTCAGATTTTCTGGATGTAACGGTGTTTCGACATACACTTGAGGATTAGCTTCGCTCCAAATGCGGCAGCTTTGTTGACGTAGCCATTCAACCAGAAGTGCGCTTCATCGCTAAACAAAATTCGCTTATGAAAATCGGGAACAACGGCAATCTCGTTTTGGGCCCATTCGACGAATCTACGCCTTACTTGATGATTGATTGGCTTCAATTCTTGCACGAGTTGGATTTTGTAAGCACGCAAACCAAGATCCTTCCGCAAAATCTTCCATAAAATGAATGGACACAGATCCAATTCCTGTGCTCGATGGCGGATGGACTCATTCGGGTCTTCCTCAATGCTACGCTCTACAGCAGCAATAACTTCTTCTGTACGCACCGTACGGCATCTCTGGGGATGCGAGTTATCAATAAGAGTAAACGTTAATGTAAAATGGTTAATCGAATTTACTGCTCTGATGTACGATTTTGTCGACGATAAAATAGACGTAGTGCGCGATGCGTATTCCGCACAGAACCATTATTTTCGAAATAAAATTGTACTATTTGCAAGCGTTGTTCAGGCGTGAGTCTATTCATGATGAATTGCCAAACCAAACTGAGAATAAATCACTTGACAGCTGTTAAATCGGTCGCCATCTTGAACAGTAATGCCAACTTAAATTTCTGTACATCGAAAAAAAAACCATTATAATCAATGACTTTTAGTAATGTGGTCTTTAATATAATAGTAGCTTTTCTGACATCGATAAAATGAAGTGGAATATTCTCTATTAAGTTAAAGGAGAATAAAGAACCAGGGATTTCATTTTCACTAGGAATTGGTAAACGCGACAAACCATCTGTATGTAAGTAAGTAAGTAAATCTGCTGCCATATCCTATATTTATGAATAGCTAAACTTTCTCTTTCTAAATTTGAATAAACCTTTTATTTTTCTCAAAAGGTACTTGACGCAAAAAAAGTTGTTTTTCTTTAGCATTAATGCGATGACTTAAAACAGCCCCAACTCCATATCAACAGAAATTGGTAAGGATCGGTAATGTGTAAGAACATTTTCCAACGTGATAGTTTTTGCTCATTTAAACTTGTTTTTACACTCATTCTGGTAAAAAATTCATTGATTTTCATTGATTTTGACGTTATACTTTTTTAAGCGTTGCATGACTGCTCTACCATTCTTGTGACTCTCGGTTAAAAAAGAACCGGACATATACTTCGCCCCCAATTAATGTCAAGAAAAGCGGAATTTTCTTCTCGTCCGAAGTTATTGTTGCATTAAACAGTTGCTCTGCAATAAACGAAGACTTTTTTTAACAAAAAGACTTGACTACTCGATTTATTATTACTCAGACTTGTTTTTTCCCTATTTAACGACTTGTGGACACGACTTCGACTCTTCGGCACAGGAGACGATCGTTGCTCGTCGCCAAAGTTGATCAAAAGTGTATCAATATAAACAAAAGAATATCCAATATATAAGTTTGATATTGCATAGAGATGGAAATTATTCATGCAACTATGAGTGAAACCTCAATTTCTTTGATATGAATGGATCTGACGTTAATTGTGGTACATCAATCGTGTTCGTTTAATCACAAGTCTCAAAAAATATTTGAAAGGAAACTAAATGCTTATATTATATCTTTTGATTCAAATTGAAATTTTAAGAAGAGTCATCATCACCTCTCGCATCACCTCCAAATTCACTTGGAAGCCCACCGATTCGCTCTGCCAATGTCTCTTTAAGGCCCTCCTCCAGTTCACAGAGTATGACACTTTTCATCAGTCAATTTCTTCTTTGTTCTCGTTTTTAGATATTCATATTTTTTTCTTAAGGTCACACTACCCCTGAATTGTTAAATTCCCCTGCCCCTGCCAACATTCTTGCTAATTTTTGTTATCAGTATCGGTATTTTTATTTTCTAGTACTGCTTTATACTTCCTAACAGGACAACTACTTATGCATTGAGTACACAATGCGAACTGCAAGGAGAGGCTGCAGCTGCAAAAGGAGGTATTGCAGGATTTCTTATTACTATTAATATTCTGAAGATATTTATACAAAAAAAAACTAAGTTTTAAGAACCAAATTTTATTATATGATAAAAAATCACCATAAAACAATCCGGAAATATACACCATAATTTTACATCTTTTTTTACAACTGCGATTTTGAGTCCTATAGAAATTATATGGACCGAATTAATAGACACCGTAAAAGCATTAATTATATCCTCCGATGACAGTGATGGCGAAGATTCAAACTGTTCTCGTGACCAGCTTTATTTAATATTTGTTATTATTAATATAATTGCAATTATGCGTCAGATACGTTAATACATTATTACAGTTATGACCATTGATCTTGTGTCGGAGTATAATACACTACATTCCCATAATTTAATATCGACAGCTAAGAATACACTAAATTTTTCGAAATTTCAACTTTAGAATGCTTATAGGGATCTATATCTATATAGGGATACTAAAGCACAATATGCCTTTTGCAATGGCGATGAACCATGTGCTTTGAAGCGCAATTCATTGTTAAGTAGTAAGTCGGTAGTTCAAATTCATCTATAAACGGAACAGGGTTGTCAACGGTCGTAAATTTTATCCTTATAAAAAAAATATTCTACATGAGTGCCCGAAGAGTGATCTCCTTCAGAAATTATGAACCACCCGGTCAATTACACTTCTTTTTACTTCAATTTTTGAGACGGTGTTCATTGAGCTTGTTGATTCTTAATAATTCACATTTTTGGATTCATTTTGTTTGTCGATCTAGCAGAATTTCCTTTTTATTTTGACGAAAATGCGCCGTAATGGTGGTGCGGCAAATGTTCCACCAAACTTTTTAATAGGATGGAGTTTTTCTACTAAAACAACCAAAAATTCGAATTTTGCGCGTTCAAATATATCGAATGGCTTGTTTACCTTATTTACGTCGAAAAATCCGACGAAGGTATTTCTAACCTCTACCCTTCAGTTATCTAAAAAATGCTCCATCCTGATCTTACCAAGTTTGTTTATATTTGAGTTCGATATATAGATATGTATTTAAGCACAGAAAAGCGTTCTCTGCGTTTAGCTCACTCAGAACACAGTCCAGCAGTCCAACAGTTCAACAACGGAAAAGAAATTTAGTTCTATATTAAATAGGCTGAAAATTTCCTTATTTTCCTTTTTTATGAAACTCGAGCAATGCCGAATTAGCCTACAGAATAAGGTTTCGCGACGACAAAAATTTCATACAAGGAAAACCATTTCTTACGGCGGCACCCAGATCAAATTCGTTTGTTCACCGTATGCACTTTTAAAGTTCCCGGGCAATTATCGTCAGCTGAGTGTCTCAAAAAGCAGTCGTGCATGAATCGTTTTATCGAAACATGTCCTTCCCGCTCCCCGCCGAAGAATGGTAACGATCTTGTTTGTTTTATGTTTTGTTTATATATATATATTAACATCGACGTAAGGGCTCGCTTGTGAGCTTTCCATGTTTGCTTCTATTTCGGTTGATATAGCCGAGGTTATCGTATTGTTGGCGAATTGATTATGCCGTGGAAATTATTGCGGATGGAATATGTGGCGCCACCTTGCGACTAGTAGATCGTCGTTTCTGGTCAGGTTTCGCATCGATTAAAAGGTAGCAGCGTCTTGGGTTTTTCATCTGAACAATATTAATGATTTACAATGGAAGGATTTAAACTGAACTGGCACCAGCCTGATGGAAAAGTAAGGAAAATTTTACGGTAAAATAAACGGCTAGTAATGGGGATTCTTGTCTTGCCTTTTTGCCCATTTACATAAATATCAGAATAAGGTGTTCTCGTTGTTTACTTTATTTACCGGTATAATTTTCACTAGAATCGTCGAATTTGATGATCAAACTATATTTTTCATTAAGTATTTGTAAAAAATAAATCTAAAAATTTATTTATTGATTTATTATTTATTGACTACTAAAAACAATCTTGCAATTTTAGAATATTATCAATCATTATTTAATAATAATATGTATTGTATAATATATTATTATGCATTTATGATTTTTCAGTTCTCTTATAATAATAAAATGACTACAGTAATCAAAATTGAACGTTTATATTTTAAGGGCGTTAGGTGTGCTGTCATATGACTTTTACCAGCTATTAGAACACTGAGAGTGGACTACTGAGAAGCGTGCTTCTCAGTAGTCCACTTGTATGGTTGTTAGGTAGCAACCGCCGTTTGCATTTTCAGTGTCTTCAATTTTTTGTAATCGTTTTCTTGTTGGTTATAAGGGTAGTTCATTTCTTAAATTATTGGCGATAAGCAATGTAGGATATATATCATAATCGACTGTATAAAATTACAAGAAGGGGTGAAAGATCACACCTAAACTTTCTTAATGCTTTTCTTTCATTTTATTACCAAAACCTCAGTAAAGGCAATTAGGTGTGATTTTAAAAAATCTGTTATTTTAAGTAAAAGTCTGGCCAAATTTAATTCCAATAAACATATTATGTTATTATATTAATATTAAATGTGCCTGAAACTAAAAATAGGAATTTCTAATCTAAGGATAGCGTTAAGAGAAAAAAGAACTTGCATTACAGTTTATAATGATGACCTCTATGTTTTAAATCCATAACATGTTTTAATTGTTATTTTAAACATTTAAAACAAAATTTTGTGATGCCTATTTTATTATCTGTTCTTTATAATTTGAATGGTTCCTTTTAAATCCAAATGTAGACAGTACTTTTGGTTGTCTTATTGATTTATTAAAAAGTGTTAATGAAGCAAAATCATATTTAATTGGACCAGATCGTTAGCGTTTTTTTTTTATTATACTAAGTTTTTTGTCTGAACGTATAACCCTCTTTAAGGAATACCCGCATACGGTACTTAACGATTCCATTTAGTTCTAAGAAGGACGCGACGGCGACGTAACACACAATATAAATAAAATAAAAATATAAATTTCATTGTGTTTTTAAAATACTTTCGGTCAATTGACACAAAAATATTTGACCGGTCAATTCCATCACCCTACTAATAACAACTTGTATGAGGTGACTCCATACAAAGAAATCAAGAGGTTCTATGTCTGGGCATCTGACTGTTCTCAGGATACCTGTTTTTAAAAAAGTTCCTAATAACCTGTGCATTGTGTGGCGGAGCGCCGTCTTATTGGAGAAAGATTTGTTGCAGGGCCAGGGAAGATTCGTAAGATGTTCGGTTACGTTTGTTTGTACAAGGTTTAGATATCTCCCAGAATTTTGTGGGCACACCAATTACCAAACTAAACGCTGCGATATTAAAGCTCTACTACCCTGAAATCTTATTTTTGTTATTTTTCCTAATTTACCTTGACCAAACAAATTTTTAAAGAGGATTTCGAAAAAAGTAGAAATTCAATATGGCGCCCATAAGAAAAACAAAAGTTGACTTCGGCCGTACGTAACATGGGACTAATTTTTATTCATAATAAAGACAATATTCACAAAATAGAGGTTTTGCTTTTCCACTCGTATCTACCTCTAAGAATATCGATTAAAAAAAGACAAACCTGAGTATTTTTTTGCATATGCGTATCTCTTACAGTTTCCAATATCCTCGTTTACATCATCTTATACTGGACACATGTATATTATCATGTCATATAAATCATCATCTCCAATTAATAACGTTTGTTATCACCGACGTCCAACTAAAAGGCATGGCATAAGTCATTTATAAGTTTGCCATTGTTGTGATGACTATATTATGCATTTAGCCAAGGAACGATATTTTTGGAGAATACTTGGAAAGACTTCACCAAAGCGTTCACATTAATTTATTATAAAAGCGAATTTTTGGAAAATACTAGAAGCCTAATGAAACCACATTTTTAAAATCTATTTTATTTTAAGTTAACCAAAACCACAACCAGATTATTATAATTATTAAACTGTAAATTATTGATTTTTAAATATGGCCATTGTGTTGAGGCTTCAAATTCTGTTTCTTTTTTTAATATGATTTCCACTTGTTGTTTTGTCATATATAAACCACTGTTTGGAAAACCAAAAATATAGTTAACTTACATTACCTACAAACCATATAATATATTATAATAATCAGAATCGCACCTGGTTTTAGGAGTTTCTACAGAATCTTTGTTTTTTTCATTAAGGAAGTGAAAAGAGGATCGCATTTCAATTAATTGCAGACAGAACTTTCGACTTAATAAATTATTCAAACTGAAATGAAGTATGCATTCATGATGTATTAATATCCCAACACTAAAGCAAAAACATCTGGTTAGTAGGTATAATTCATGAGTACTAAATATTGTTAAGCCAGAACCTTGTTTTCGAAGTTTCACCACAATTATTGTTTCTTTTCTCTAAGGAAGTGAGATTAGACATCACATTTTAATCAGTTGCAGACAGAACTTTGGACTTTAAATAAATTACGCAAAGTGAAATGAAGTGTACATTTTCTCCAGGTTACATAATAAAATGTCAGATTCCGAATACGCTTAAACATATTATCCTTATAATTTTTTTCTTTTTTTTTATCTATTGAAGGACAAATGCCTAAATTCTGTGAAATGATGTGTCGTTTTCTTGGAGGAAATGTGATGAAGAACGGGACTGTGATGAACCGCTAAAAATGAAACGCTTCCAGATTTCAAAGAAAATTAAGTGCATTACTTTCTAAAAACGTCAGCATTAAACATTTTTAAAAAAAATCTCGTTTTAGAAAATCGAACTCACAAGCTTCAGCTTTTAGTCCTAGTACTTTATTTTCTGCAAATTCTTGTAACGCACCCCACACCTAAAGTCAGGGTTTCAGCCATTCTTCCAATTTTTAAACTTTTGTAAGTTGATTACGATCTGATTTTTGATTTTGTATAATTTAGGCCTCCTAAATTTAAATCAGATAAGCACTTTAGGATTCTTATCCACATTAAAAGAAATAATAAATGAAAATATCGATGATTTAAACATTATTTTTATTAGAACAAAAAACCTAATTAAAAAATCCAAATTAAATTACAAAAAAGTCAAAGTCAATAATTGAGTTCGTTTTTATTTTTCCCTCCTGGCCGAAAAACTTCGTTCAGTGGATTTTCTTGTATATTCCATGGCCGTATTGCATCGTTTCATCAATGTTGATGTCTGCTTCCCAACTTTTTTTATATCTTTCCACATTTCACCTCTCACCGAAAAAGTAGTCGAGATGTGAAAGTAAAAAGAATAGTTTTATGCTCATTGTGCATCACATTTTTTTTCTTTTTGTACAATGTCTTTGTAATTTGAGCACTAGTTGCCTATAAAACCGTATATAACATCGGTAAATGAAACCGATGCAACCTTTTCAGTTTCGATCATGGTATTCACAAAATATTCCATTATTTGAGGACCTACAAAAGTTCCTTCCTTTAGTTTTGCATCAGAGAGAGCGGGAAATTTTCCACATAGGTATTTAAAACATGCTTCATCTTTATTTAAAGCTTTAGTTTCATCAGCACTAATTTAATTTGCAACAGTGGTAAGAGAGTTTTTCATGGGTCAGTAAGAATATTTTTTGTTCTGATAGTTAAATGAACCTTTTTTGGTCGGTTCTTTTTCACCTAATGTCGCTGTCTGTTTCTACTGTACCACTCACACAAAAAACAGGGATACTTCGTATATCCTGACTGCTGGTCTAGTGGAAGTCCCACAATTCTTAAGTCCCCACAAATTATCGAACTCTATGCGAATTTCATTTTCTCAAGCAATAGTTCCAGATTTTCGTACCATTCTTTCATTTGCACAGAATGAACAACAGGTACAGAATCAAGTACATTTCTATGTAAAAGAACTGCTTTAAGGCTTCTCTTGGGTGAGTCAATAAAAAGGCTCCAGTCCTCAGAATTGTAGTCTGTACCAAGTTTCTTTATCAGAGTTGGAATATCGGTGCAATAATCAAATGAACCACTTTGTTCAAAATAGCCTACAAATCTTGTCCACCGCTTCCTGAAATATGAGATTTTAACGTGTTGTGTCAGTAAATTTCATTAAGATCTGATTGTGAGAATAAATGCGGTTACCGAGAAACACTCTATATATCACCAACATCACTAAGTCGTTGAGTTTTGAGTTTAATTAAAGCAGTCTAAAGAATTACTAATTTGGGACAATTTGTTATCAAAAGCGGAAAACTTCGAATCGATTTTTGTTATGTCAGGTAGACGACAAGTTTATTGAAATCACAGTTCCACAACAAACTCCGACAAACTGCGCACAACACGCTAATTAGACTTTCTAAGATTAACCGCTAATTGCGGCACAAAAAACTTAGTATTTACAAAAATGCATGCTCATATACGCTAGCTAGAACTGAAAAATAGGTAAAGAATTATTCACTGGCAACGGCCCTTAAAATAGTAAAAATAATAGGAGCGTCTCACAACGTGGTCTACTCTGGTGCGAAGCACATCAGACTTTTGACACTGTCTTCTTTGTTTTCGGACCATACATCTTTGGAAGCTTGCTATTAAAGATTTTATATGGCATTAATGTGGAATTTTGTTTAATATTGCACACTGAAACGGTTCATACGCAGTCCAGAACACCTGACGTCCAATTGTCTGATATGGTCAGAAAATTCTTTCTCTTAGACATTTCTAAAGATTATCATCATTATCAGATTACATGCAAGAATTGTTGTTTTATCAAATAAAATTATAGGTCACATTTCGTCATTGTGTTCGGCAACTA